TCAACCAACTCGAATCTATTTTCACTTTGAATTATTCGGTTTTGTTTTCCCTTAAAAAGTTCTTTTTAAATGAAATAATATAATAATTACGATGTTTGATGCTCTGAATACTTGGCACAGCACTTCGGTTAATATCAAACCTAATCAAAATTTCCAATGACAGATGAAAAAATTAACTAAATTTTTGCCTGAAAAGTTGATAAATGCGACCACTGGAGAGCGAACTCAGTAAGCTGTTACAATTCTGATACGGATCTTTGGTTTTAAGAATAGTATTGCTGACCGGCTCATTCTACATAAATGATGTCGGTCATATTTGTTTAAAGGGCTCTTGGCATCATATGGGCTTATCTTCCACAATTCTCTGATTTAAAGTGGCCGTTCAATGTTTTTGGAAGAATCATCGTTACCTAATTGAGAAATTGAAGAACTTAACTTTTAGTTATCAATTGAAAATTATTTCTTTAGCTCACCGTAGGTTATTTCTTGCTGTTCTGTTCCTCCACAAAATGATTGTCGGAGATGTTGATTCCTTTATGCTTTTAGGTCGTATCAACTTTTCTGTTCTTTACAGGCCAACAAGGAACTTTCTGCCTTTTCTACTTAATAGATGCACTAGTAATTAAGCCATGCACAATACTTTTCGAGTATTATGCTCTAATTTATACTATACTTTTACTTTTTAATCTCAAGTGATCTCTCTTTCCCCTCACTAAAGACTTCTTCTATTATATATATATATATATATATATATATATATATATATATATATATATATATATATATATATATTATAGATATAGATATATATATAGATATATATATATATATATATATATATATATATATATATATATATATATATATATATATATATATATATATATTCTTTAACGTCCACTCTTTCCACCTTCTGCACATTAAAGTGCGTATACCTGAAGTCAAGGCCAAATAGAACTTCCCTTGAACTTCACACACACTTAAGAATCGAATCAATCAATCAATTGGATGCGCCTTCACGTATCGTCTAATTGAGATCACACATTGAGGCATTTCATGGCGAATGCCTCGAAATGAACTCGCACGTAATGTCAGCGACTGGTGCCAAAACGATCGCATCATGCCCCAGCTATTCATATGTATGTACACTGATTATCAGTTCAGATGCAGTGGAGTGCCCAACCCAGTCAACGAGTTGCATGCAACTTGAAGAAGCCACTCCTACCCGAAAACAAAAAATTCCACAGGCCATACATTAAAATCAAATTAACCCAAATTGCGGCCGCGAGCAACATTTTCATTTCAAGATAGAAATCAAAGGAATTGAAAAATCAGCCCAGAGAGCGTGCCACAACACCACCTCCCCCTTGCGGCTTGCCCGCCCACTCGAGTCTGAGCAGCGTAGTGTAGGCAGTGGAGCGCAACCAACTGCATGAGCATGCCACATGCCTTATGCCGCATGCTGCAAATCGCTTGAAGACCTGAAAGCGCACAGCAATGGCAATCAATCAGCTTATGGCTCATGCTTTGATTAAAAAGCCCACTTCCAGGGCAAACAATTCAATTTGAATGCAGCAGCAACAACAGCAACCACACCAACAATGAGGCCCACAGATTGCAGCCGATTGGAATTGAGATTGTGAATGGGAATGGAAATGGGAGTGAGTAGCAATATCGAGCAGCACCCCACCCCGGTGGGCGACCACAAAAGCTCACATCAACATCAACCACAAGTATTTTGCATACAGTAGATCGAGCTGCTCCCATTTCTTCATTCAAGTGCCGTCACTACTGTTGTTATTGTTGCTGCCACCTGGTGGCGTTTGGTTATTTGTGTTGTCTCCGTTTCCGCAGTTATGCGTCCACGTCGCCGTCAATCAAAATCACTTGACATATAAAAGCATTGCCTGCTTGCCTTGGTACTTGGCTCCATTTTCTCTCGGTTTGTTTATGTGAGTGTATCTAAGTGTGTATGAAAGTATGTACGTGGGTGTATCTTTAACAAATTGTCCAGTTGTAAGTAATGTATTGTGTGTCCATTGCCATTCAACTGCTGTTAATGCTCATAATTGTTGATACTCACATTACGTATACGACACGTGCGCTACTAATTTATTATTCTAAATATACGCAATATATATACTCGTGTAATACAACCAAGACTTTAGTTGAAAGCATTGCTTTCATTTCACCTGATAATTATGAAAAAGCAGGCACTATGTTCCTGCTTATGATCTCACTCCTTTTGTCGAATTTGAGGGCACTATTTGAATGGAAAAGGGCTTAATGAAATGGATCGAAATAGAACTATATTTTTTTGCCCATATTTAAAGCCATTTCTCTATATTAGCAGACGCCGTGTCAACATTACTTTACTGATTCCACGCCGACAATTAAACCTTCTGCGGGCAATTACTTTTGGGAATGTTAGTCAACCTATTGGAAGTACTGTATTTCGTTTAAAAAAGAAACTCCTCACCACGGAATAAAGAACAATTTCCGCTGAAATGTGTTATAGCTCATTTTTATTGTTATCAGTTTGAATTTTCAAATTTTAAAGAAATTCCAAATTCAACTCTCGATCGAATCAAACCAATCTGAAATTCTTGTTAAATTGGTACAAAGTTAATGGTCATCTTTAGTTTTATTATGCACTCTGCTACACTTAGTGGGTCTACTATCCACTACCTCAACCCATTATCACTCCCTATTTTATTCGTCACGATTTGAGAAGCGCCGAGAACGGCTCACCCATGCATTTTATTGCTCATTCTTTTCAAGTGTCATTTTAATGAGCACTCAAATATTTTTATTTGTCGTTTAAAGCGCACGCTTTGCCATAAATTATATTTCAGTAGTTTGTTTTTTATTGTTGGAATGGTGAAAATATTTTGCAATGTTGTCAACAATAAAAGCAACAAAGCCGTCACTTAATTGCGCTTGTCAGCCAAAAGTTGTTGTGGTTGTTATTGTTGTTTATCATCATTAATATAAATCGTTTGTTGCTCGTTTAAGGAAAAGCGCCTTGCACTTAAATTTTGTTGCTATTGTTATTTTTGTAGCAGATTAGTTATTATTGTTGCACTCACTGTTAAATCTAATTGCTTATAGTCTTACGGATGTCGTTTTCGTAATGCCTCTGAGCTGTAATAGGGAAGGCAATAGACAAAGTATACAGATCTCTAGCATAAGACGTAATTTTATGGGGCTTTATAGATAAGAATAGAACTGTTCTCTCACGTATATAACTTTTTCTGCTTTGGTTAAGCTACGAAGCTAAATGATTAACGATTGTTATCATTTTAAAATTTGGTGTCTTTAAAACCACGATTATCATTTCCCTTCAAATCTCATTTGAATCTACACTCTTGAGAGTTCATCTCAACTCAGCTTAAGCATTCAAATTCATTCCACATGTGCTATCATTTTTTCAGCAGAAAACTTCAAGACATTTAAAATTGAGGAACTTCATGTCAAAAACAAAAAAAAAGCAAGCTACCATTAATCATAGCACAGTATTGACAAAATGAAACCCCAGAGTATTGTCTGCCAAGGCGGCATTTGAAATTAGAATGAGAGACAGAATTTGAAACGTAAAGGGGTGAGAATCACGTCAGCTTCTACGTCTGGCTGTCAGTTACCAGCCTTGGCGCTATTCATGGTCTTCTTTATAATGAGCAGGGTCATTATGTGGTTGTTGTTTATCGTCCCCATACACCCTTATCCCAGCACTTGCCTGATGGCAGCAGCTAAAAGCACATCCTGTCATTAGACCAGAATGCCAGCAAACAAATGGAAATGCAAGGCCTTTTAAATACATACATATGTACTCATATACATACATACATATCTACATAGTATAGTGGATCTTCGAAATATTTTACCTTTTCAATTACATTTAGAGTTGAAAAAGTAGAACTTATTCTATCTTAACTTTATTTGGATGTAATTTGTATTCATACTTTTTAGAAAAAGTAAATAAATAAGTCAATTTTTCGACATACAGGTACTATAAATAATCTATCTTAATAACTAAATTGCTCATGTATGTACTATGAATATTTGTAGGATCGTAGGATATAAAACCAATGAAACCTTTAGGAACAATTTAACATAATCTGATGAAGCTTGAAAAAATTTCTTTACTTTATAATTAATATACAACTTGTTTGTCGCTTTTATATTTATAAACAACGCAACAAATTTAAGAAAACTACCCCAAATATAACATTCAGAATAATGCCGGAAGTAAAAAATTAGTAGATATAAATACAATTAACAAAAATAATTAAAGAAATACATTGTACATAAATAATTTTATCCGATAAAAAGCTCTGAGAAAAATTGCCAAATTGCCAGAGAATATCCCAAGTAGTTTGAGAACCCGTTATACAGCAAAATCACGGCTTCATCAAGTCTCGCTTCGAAATTGGTGATGCCAGACTATCAGTCGAGCCTCAGCGGCAGTAAACAACCAAAGCGCCATCAAAACGAATTTTGAATGTAAACAAAAAACAGCTGTAACCAAAATGGCTTCACAATCCTAACGGTGCATTGCAAATACGTAAGCAAACTAGCTATTTTTCTACTGGTGGAACAAGTTTCAAAAGCAAAATACAAAATGGCTGCCCGATCCTAATGGTGCTTTGCAAAATGACACATTATTCATTATTAAGCATGCATAGCATTAAATGACATTTATTTATTTGTTTTTTAATTTAATGTTTTTTCTGAGTTGCTTTTATTAGTTTATTCTGTTGTTTATTTATTCGCTGCAGAACTCCACGAGTATTGTAAATATGTTGCCATGCGCTGTACTATATTGCATGCTCACTGTATTTACTCTTTTATTGTTTGCTAGATTCTTGCATTTCCAGCGCCAGTACAAGACCAGCAATTGAGTTCTAAGAGTTCACTTGAAGCCATTTAATTGTATAATTTACTGATAATTAAATAAAAGTGTAAATTCTCTCTCCCTTTATCTTCTGTGCAATCAGCAGCTGGACCAGAATACACCAAAGACCGAGCAGACAATAACAAGAAACAACAGCATCCAAAGCATCATCAAGAACAGCTGCCGGGACTCCCACAACAATTAAAGCAGATGAGTTGAATGAACGCCGACGACAAGCCGCTCTCAGTCGGCTGCAATTAGAAGCCAGCAGTAGATTACGTTCCCGAACCCCATCCCCATCACCATCCCCGACTCATACCGCTGTCAGCTCGCAGAGCAACTTTAATTGAGAAGGCAACGGGAACGGCAGCGTTTTCAGATTGCCGGTCAGAAGATGCCGTCGTTGCGTCAAAAGGTCACCACGTATTTTCGTCAATTGAGCTTTATAGCCGAACCAAGGGAGGGATCGGCCCGCTCTGGACGACATCGCGTGACTGCAGACGAAGATGATGAGGGCAATTTCATAATCAAATATCTGGAGGGGTAAGCATAAATTACCTACATACGAGTATCTCACAAAGAAAGTGTGTGCCAGAAACGATTTACTAAAATTCAAAAGGGCATCGGATTTGATAATAGGACCGATCCGTAGAAAAATCACATTTGTAACATAACTTTTGTTCTGTTTATTAAGTTCCCAACCAAATTTGATATTAAAAAGATTTATTTAGATCGTATCACAAAATTAAATCCATAATTAAATCTTTTTCGTTGATAACGTTATTACAAGCAAATTTTATATTTTTTTTTGAAATGCCTCGTCATATTTGAAGGAAAATTAAAATTACTGCACCGATATTATAAGGAACAATTGGCACAATAACCTTTATCTAAGTTTAAGAGGTTATGGGAAAGAGAAAGACAAGTTATTAAAGAGATATTTTTTATAGAATAATTTATCGGGATTTAGGACTGGTCGGCAATAAGACTCTTGTTTGCATTATACTTAAAGTTCCCTAACAATAAATTGTCCTTGCTCTCCTTACAGCCGCATGGAACGTCAGTTCGTGCCCGGACCAGAGATCTACAATGGCCAGAGTCCGACGGAGATGCCAGTGCTGAAGCTGGGACGATATGCCGGTGGAACGAGTGCCATCACTGCCGCCTGCACGGGCCCGGATGAGGGTCTGACAGGCATCAAGCGCTCCAAGCTGCATCTGAGTGCCAGCTATGCGGACGACATAGACTTCATAGACACTCAGCAGGAGAACGATTGCTATGAGGTGCGCAAAAGCACCGCCAGCACAACAAATGGGAACCAAAGCAATCAAAGATTGAGCAATAAGTTCGCCCGGACAGGCAGTTCGCGACGTCAGAGCAATGCTGACCAGGCGTCGGGCAATGCGAAGGGTGGTTCGAACGCAGGAGTTGCGGGAATGCGCTCCAGAAAGAACTCCAAGACGGGCATTGCGAATCTTGTGGGGGGTAGCAAGGAGCAGGAGGCCAATAAGGCCACCACCATTGTGGTAAGCATGGTGAGCAGCAGTCGCTCGCCAGCCCCCTTGCGAGCCTCCAATGATCAGAATAACAAAAATGTAATGAACGGAAAGACTGAGACAACGACTTCTCCCGATCCAGCTAGCAAGGATGCCACAGCACATGAGCTGCTCGAGAATGCTACGGAACGTCTGCTCCGGGAGGCCGTTAGCAATCAGAATGGCACACCCACAGCTCCAGCCCCGCCCACACTCACAGATGTCGTGGCCGGGGTGCACAATTGGAAAATGGAATGCGAGTCCGCATACGGCATTTCGGTGTCCCTCTATGAAACAAACATGCTAACCAAGGAGCCGATGGGCAATCCCATTGCCGACTGCTATGGGATGGTGGTGCGTGGTGACGCGGCCGCGATGGCAATGGCCGATGGTGTCAACTGGGGAGATGGAGCACGTTTGGCGGCCCGCTCTGCCGTACACGGCTGTCTGGATTACTTGGATCGTGCAGTATTTGGACAGGCACAAGAATGCATGGCCACGACCACACAGGAGGTATTCGTAAGTCTGCTGCGCAGCTTATGGGAAGGCCATGGATGTATACTGGAGGTGGGCGGCGCACTGTCCACCCTCACCATTGCGGTGGTGTTGCCCCTCGATGGAGATGGGGGAGACCGCAAAAAGTATGTAGTCTGCGCCTGCAATGTGGGCGACTCTCTCGGCTACGTGTACTCCAAGCAGCACGGCGTGCGTGAGTTCACGCAAGCCTCTCACGACATCAGCTCTATGCGTGATATGCGCGATGCTTTGGGCGCCCTAGGACCCGCCGATGGCAACAAGCCGGAGCTCAGCAATCTGACCTTCTCTATGACCTTCATCGAACGCGGCGACATCGTTTTTCTCACCTCCGATGGCATCAGCGATAATTTCGATCCCGTCGTGGGGAAATTCGCCGAGGCCTGGACTCCAGATGTTAAGCTGCAGACAACAACGGCTCTGAACGGAAGTAGTTTGGCGCCCAAGCGGCAGAACAAAAGCGCTTCGGCCATCTATGCCCGCCTCCATCCGTCGACGCCGCCCACACGTCCCGCACGCCATCAGCCAAAGTCGAGCAGTCCGCCGAGTAATGTGCCCAGCAGACCCAAATATATGCGCAGCCAGACTGTGATCGAGCCGCGACGTCTCTCCTCAGCTGGCGCTCAGGCCACAAAGCCCATAACTGCCGCCTCATCACCACCGCCCATACAGCGCATACCCAAGAGTGTATCTGGGTTGCCGCTGGTTACAGGTCCACAGCGACATGCACTGACACTCCACCGCCTGGAGGATTTACTCAGCTACGGCATCAATGGCACCTTCTCGCCTTGCGTCTCGGCCCGCCGTCTCTGTCATCTGCTCATCGATTTTGTGCGTATGATCACGTCGGCCCGAAGGAAGACTTTGGAGCAGCGCGAACTCTTCTACAAGTTGGCCACGGGAGCAGATGGAGTGAGGCGTGAGGTGGAGCTCAATCGGATGCAGCATCGAGCCGCACGGAAGCGAATTGTCGATAGCAGCGCCTTCAGTGCTCTGCCTGGAAAACTGGACCATGCCACAGTGCTGGCTTACACTGTGGGTAGCGGCCAGCAGGCGACTATGAATGGCAATGCTACCAGCACAGAAGAGAGAGACGGTGGTGGAGGAGGTGGCGGAGGCATTGCTGCGCCTTTGCTGCAATCGAAGGAGTTCAAGGAGACGAATTTCTAAATCGCAATTAACCGACAGGACTGTGCAACTCATACATACATACATACTTTTGGATGTATTTTTTCTCACTTATAAGCTATATACCATAATATATATACACATATATACGTACATAGGCTTACATAAAAATATGCGCATATATACATACACAAATACTATATATATTTGATAAACATGAAGCTTTTTATCCATTATTTAAGTTGTTGATTTCATTTTAAATTGTTTAACATAGCTTTGCTTTTGTCAGCCATAGTCTTTTAGTCATTTTGAAATATGGACAAAATGCCTCAAATGTTTTAAACTACCAAAAAGAATGTAAAGCATACACACTCATATATATATATATATATATATGAATATAAAAATATATATATTTTTAATTACACAAACTCTCACACAAAAATACTGGTATGTGCACAACACCAACACACACACATAACTACTAAATGGGCGTGAGCAAGTGAATAAAATTGAATAAAAGTAATGAACTGCGCTTTTAAAAAAAAATATGTGGATTAGGCATTTTATTTTTTATAAATAAGCAGTGGTTAGTTATTTATTTATCAAGTATTATATTATCTCAAAAGTATTATATACCCAGGAGGAGCTAAGTTGTCTTTGCTATAATGCCAATATAAAACAGATAGAGCTCCATAGAGAATTTTTTCATCAAATGCAACTCAAAGAACTCAACCAGCTAAAGGCTTTGATTTGATTGATTGTTACATATAAAATGCAACCCACGTATGAATTAATCATATAATCATGTATATAATTTATTTCAGCCGGTAAATTGCACAACATTTAAAAATTAATTGTCAGTTCATAGAAAAAATAATACAATATAAGTTACACACACAATATTTGATTTTCAAACTGGACAATGGCAAGTCAACCGCCAAGTCCTGTAGAGGCTAGCAAATAATTTCCGCAAGTTCCTTCAGCTCCGAATCCGTTGATCATTTGTTGCGCATGCGCAACAGCAGCTTCGCAATGCACTGAGCACGCGCTGGGGATGATTCCTTAACCCGCCTATATAAGTCTTCTACAAAGCGCAGAGTCTGAGGCTACAAGCAAAATAAATGCAATTGATTAAATTTTGTTAGCCGTCATGGATATTTTTACGTACAATAGTCTTAGCATCTAATTGGGACTCCGCTTTGTAAGCCAACAGCCAGAGATTGAGTGCCAAATGACATAATGGCTCACGTTCCAGGTCCGCATACCGTATAATGCGCAGGAATAGTTCCAAGGATAATTGCGCCTGAGTGCGTTGTTGTTGCGCTAAGCCCAATGCCTTTAGCTGCATCAGAATGCCATCCACAACCTGAGCACACAAGCTGTTTACCTCCGTGACAAACTTCTGGTCGTGTCCGTAGAGAGCGTCATTTGAGACAACTGGAAAAGCAGCTACAATTAGCATAATCCATTTAAAAAGTTGGTAATATTTTACCATCTTCGATGTGATAGGGAAATTGGTCCAGACTCTGCACATAAAGCATGTCCAGGGCATGCAAATATATAGTGGTGGGCGCAGCGCTCTCCGCTTTGAATGGATACTTTGCCACCACCTCGAGTAAAAGACGAAGAAAGTACAAAACGCCCTGCTCTGGGCTGTCCGGAACAATAACCAAAGTGGCCAGCATATTGCACAGATAGGAGACCAAATAGCTTTCCATGCTGCGCGGCTTGCCTTCAAAGTCCACAGTGGCGGGCAGTTCGTTAACCAAGGATATAGCAGCCTCGAAACAGGCATCGGCTAGAAACAAGAATTATAAACAAGTTCTGCATTAAAACTCAACCAACACAGAATCTAATAACACTTGGAATATCGGAAACAAAAGAAAGTGATCAACCGAGAACTACAGGAGTTATAACAAAGTGTCTTTAAAATTAATACAAAAAAAATTTTCCAAACAATGAATAAATTATTTGAAAATCAATAATTCGGAACTGAAACTAAATAATTTCAAAACTTCGTGGACTCTATTTTGGATCGCAATTAGCTAATATTATTGTGTTTCTACTTACCCTGACCCAGGCAGAGATTAATGAGCGCTACTTGGCCACACAATAGATACAAATCCATTTGCTGGTGCACCGCCTGAATGCTCGGAATGGTGATAAAACAGAAGGCGATGCAGGCCTTGACAAAGCCCATCGTTTTTCGATTGTGTTGCTGGACACGCTGGCGCGTTGTCATCGCCAGCTTGCAGGAGGCATACACTAAAGTGACATAAACCGCATCTAAATTGCTAAACGTGCCCCGTGCCTCCACATAAAAGCTCAGTTGCTGTTCCAAGTCGCGTCCGAAATGCACTTTATGAATGAAACCATTGATCAGTTGCCCGATCTGACGACGCTCGTCCTCCACAGTGAGGGCACTGCAAAAATTGGAAAGATTCAAAAATAGATCCTTATGGTACAACCATGCTAACTCACTTAACATAATCGTTGAGTATCTTTCCCAAATACATGAGGGCATTGATAACGACGGCGTCGCAAGTGTGCTCCTCGCTGTTTTGTTTATAGTGGCTGAGTATGTTTTTGCACACCTCGACGCGAACTGATTCCCTGTGGAAGAGATCCAAATAAGGCAGAAAGTGCTCTTGTATGAGCAGCAGCTCGATTGTGCGATAATTTTGCATTATCTTAGTTAAAATGCTCTGCAGTTGTGGGTAATGCTTCTCATATGCCTTTCCCAAGCACATGCGCGAATTTAGTTCGCCCAAAAAGCGATTAACCTCATGAATCTGTAAGAAATATGTATGTATATCTCAGAATTAAATCATTTTTAAAACGGGATTCCAAACTGACCGTAAAGTATTGAGCCACAAATGGGGCCCAAGTCTCCACACAATTGATATAGTCATTGGGATCGGTTAAGGTGTTGATTGTTTGCAGGGCAGTGTTTAAGAACTTAACCCGCTGCTCCTGCAGGGGTCCACAGCTGCTCACACAACTGCCGAGCGCCCGTAGGAGTTGACATTTGGAAATGCCGGGTGTGTTGGAATTGTTAATAAGCTCCATGAACTCCAAAGCATTTGAGGCAATAAACTCCGGCTTATATGAATTTAGAATGGACATTAGTATTGCGCCACTGAAAATATCAACATTTATATTAAGAATCAAATGACAGCGAAGGACTCAACTCACTTGTACTTCAAATCCCTGCAGTCACCGAGCAGATCCTCGGTATAGAGCTCACATTTGTGAACTAACGATTGCAACATAAAATCAAAGGCTGGGGCATACAACTGCAAATAGGTGCTGGCGGTAATAATTTCTGGATGCAGATTGAAGCGAGAGACCAAGCGAAAAATCTTCAACGCAATAATACAATTACAGAAACAATATTTCGTCAGTAGGTTAAGGTTCAAACCTGCGGATATATGATGAACAAATCCTTGAAATTTTCTCGTATGTACGCCTTGTTGTGTGTCACCGGTGTGCCCACCCGCACCAGATAGCAGCGTGCATAGCTGGACACCAAAGGATCTGCAATTCCCCGCAATTGGTAGGTCAGGCGCTGGAGCAGAGAGTCGTACTCGTCGGGGGCGAGAAACTCGTAGCACTTGAATATTGCCATTTCCAGATACACTCGCGGCAATAGCTCCCGTATGGATGCTATTTTGTAGAACCAATTTTGGCAAGTATCGTGCGCACTCTCCCGCTCCCGTTCCAGCATTAAAGCCGACGCTCCGGGAGCTCCCACAGCTTTCGTGCGCAATCGCTCATACACCAGTTTGCCGAAAGCATCAAGAATATCTGTGATGAGCACGAACTGACTGGGATAGAACTGAAGCACGGTGGTGTCTGCCAGCATTTTGGCGCATTGTATGGCTATTTTCAATGCTTTGACGCGTTGATCACTGTGCCAGGACTGGACCAGCTCCTGCTTGAGTTGTTCGAAGCGCTGAATGTATTCCTGTTGCGTTAAATCCATCATGTGACGCATGCTTCCATCATCAAAATGGTCAAGTTGCTCCAGGCGATACTTGACCTTGTCCGCGACCACTGTCTGTGCCTTAACTGAGGAGGAGGACTTTTAACTAATAAGTACATTTAATCTGGCAAGCACTCACTGCTTTCGCCGCCGCCCTCGATGCTGCTGGTGCACAGGAAACTTGTTGATAGCGACAACTTCTCATTGGTGGTGAAGCGATTTAAAATTCCCAGACGACGTGTGCTCCAATTCAAGGTGTCCTCCGGCGGTTGCTTTTCCCGTCGTTTCGACTTGAGTTCCTGCAGCGACAAACGTTAGCAAGGATAGTATTGTCTCTCAATTTTAAACTCACATATTCACTGGACAACTGAGTAAGCGGATCGTTAAATTCCAGCTCCTGGCGGGCGAACTGGGACAGGGGATCGGTGCCTTCAAATGTCTGGCTTATAGATTCGGTTAACAGGGAGAGGCTGGATGAGCGACTGCTGGCATTGCTGCCAAGACTGGGCGCACGCGTGCCTTTGCTATCCACCACCTGTGAAAAATTATAGAAATATAACAAATGCAGATACAAACGGAAGTGGAAAACTTACGGTTACAGTCTGCTGCTTCAGCGGATGCTCGTACGTCTCATAGCCTTGCAAATGGTTCTTCGTGACTTCATAGCAGCGTGGCACACAAATCCTATCAATTTGGATTGCAAAGTGGAACGCTTTTTATAACAAATTGTTTATTTTTTCTTAAACTTACCATTCAAGACTAGCCATCGCGTAGGCGTCCACTTAACAGCTGTTCGCCGGCTGACAGTGGGCAACATTAGTATTATTTGCATGAAAAATGTCTCTTAATTTTCTGCTATAAATTATTTTTTTTTTATAAAACTTGTATAATATGTAGCTAATAAATTATATTAAAAAGCTGTTATGGCAAATTTGAATTAAATTACAGAAAAGGCTGGAGGTAAGTACGCGTTTAAACAAAAAGTGGCAACGCTAGCGTTCTGTGCCATTGTGAACGACTAACAAAATAAACAGCTGGCGACTGGCGTTCGTAAAATTAATAAAATTTACTTACAAATAAAAAAAAATCTACACTATAAGCATGAATAAAATGTTTAAAAACGTTTGCCGCGTGTGCAGCAAGTACGCAAGCGGGAAGAAGGCGCTGCGAATCTATGACAAAAACAATCGCAAAATACTCACATGCATTGAGATGATTACAGGCATATGGGCAAGTTTTTTAGTATTACTCGAGATTGTCAACAATATTTGTTACAATTTCTCTTACATTTTAGCTGGAGAGCTTCTCTTGTCTGCCTGATCTTATTTGTGAGTGTTGTTACTGCGAACTAAACGATGCCATTAAGTTTCGGGAACGTTGCATTAAAGCGCAAAAAGAGCTATTGGCGGCCCTAAGTGAGGAGCAACGCCTGGAAATAACCGAAGATTATAGGATATCCGTGGCAGGCCATATAGTTCAGCGATCAGAACCAGAACAAGTGGAATCTGTGGATCCTGAAGAATATTTTGATTTTGAAGAGTTTGACTCTAAGCCAATGCTAACGGAAGAATCGCAATCGATTGATGATTTTGATAACATAATAGTTGCAGACGACGAGGATGACCTGAACTTTGACGTAGCAGAGCAAGATGAATTCGAACAAGAAGTCAAGCTCGAGATACAGCAAGAAGAAGCTAGCCAACAGAAAACGCAAGATCTGGTCATTGTGCCCGAAGCAATGGTCTCTAACATTAAGCCTGAGTTCGAATATGATTCCGAAGACGAGGAGGCTGTCTTGGACAACATACTGGACGATGAGTTCGAGCCGGATGTACCTAAAAACAAAGCGGCACGGCAAGCAGCATTAGCTGCCAAAAAACAAAAGAAACCCCGAGGTCAGGGCGTTTTTATTTGCGAACAATGTGGAAATCATATAAGCGGACGTGTCGCCTTCGAATTGCATTGCCGTCGTCATCGAGGCGAAAAAGAATTCCAATGCGAGTAAGTGCATCAATTAACATATTATACAAATATATCAATTTTGATTCCTTCAGAATCTGTACGGATCGTTTTTGCACTACCTCGGAGCTAAAACGACACATGCGAAAGCACACGGGCGAACGACCCTTCCCATGCCAATATTGTGGTCGACGCTTTACTGATTACACTACCCGCGTTAAACACGAACGTACTCACACCAATGAACGGCCCTACAAATGCACAACTTGCGGGAAAGCATTCACAACTGGTTACATACTTAAAAATCACATGCTGGTACATTCAGGACAGCGTACCCACAGGTTTATATATATTTATTATTTATTATATTGACTATAATTCAAGCAGGTTCCTGGTTCCAAATCGAAATTTCAAAATTGTATTCCACCCACAAAATGATTGAGTTATTGTGTTTCAAAATGAGCTAGCGGGTTGCTTGAAGAATACCTAAAAAACTTTTCAAGCCGAATAACTCAATAGTTTAATGGAATTTTAGCATATTTAGAAACTGCAACAGCCTCAACTTTTATTTCATATAAATAATACATATTTCGTTTTGCTTATAGGTGTGATCTTTGCGATAAATCCTTCTTGCTGAGTACGCATCTTTTAACCCATAATCGGTCCAATGCACACAAGCGTAACGTGGAGAATCAAGCCCTCGCCTCACTAGAGCAACGATTGCAAGTATATAGTCGGCAGGAGGACGAAGACTAAACAGAATTATTCATTAAAATTTAAAATCTCCTCGACATAAGAATATGAATACAAACACAACATACATATGTAGATAGCTGTAACTCAAAAATTTTCCTTAGCACGTACTGTATGTATATTAACATTATTTACACTGATTGGCACACTGAATAATACAATTATAAATTAAAATTCAGTTGTAATTGTGCATAAATATTTAGAAAACATATCAGCGAGGTAAGTAATTTAGGAATTCTATACAGGCTAAAAAAGTATATTTATTAAAAAAGTCTTTCAAATTACGATTATCCTGTTAAGATCTAACTCATTTTGATTAAATATATTACTACCATCGACCATCTCGTTCGGTGGTGCAAATAAAAACTTTAAAATAAACATAATTTACACACCCTTCAGGTGGTTTCGCCACTAAATGGACTGCTGCCCGTGATATGCAGAATAATCTTTTAAACAGCACACGCGTCGCACTGTGAATGGCGCAATGCAACAAACAGCTGTGCAGTCGCCGCTTTTTCACTGTTTATGTTTTCAGTTGAATTAATAGTAAATATTAGTACGTTTAATCAACGCCGAGCTGCTAAAGAATGCTGAAAAACGTGTGCAGAGTGTGCAGCAAATATGCGACGGCTAAAAAGTCGTTCGTTATATTCGAGAATCGCAATCGCAAACTACTTTGGCATATACAGACTCTAACAGGGCTCCTGGTAAGTCCGCAATCACAAATTTGTTCGCATATCTCCTACTAGTTAATTAACATACATTTTAAGCTGGAGGACTACGAATGTTTGCCTACTCTAATATGCCAGTGTTGCCACACCGAGCTCCTGGATGCGATCAAATTTCGAAACCGTTTTCTGACTGCACAGCTTCAACTCTTAGATATGTTGACCGAAGCCCAACGGGACGAAATTCCAGTTAGCTACAAATCGGCGGTTATCTCAAAAGCAAATGGAGATCCCACAGTCGAGGCAGACCCAAAAATAGAACCAGACACAGATTGCATGCCCAGCAGCGTTGAACTTGTGGAGGTGATGGCAAAGGACTCACACGAGTCGCTGATGGACGAGTCGGAATTCAATATGGTAGTGGAGGAGGACTTAAAATGCTATAACACGGAGCCAGAAGTTGAGGAAGAATATATTACCACGGCTGATTACGAGTATATATCCGAATATGAGGAGGCTCTGGACAATGTCTTGGACGATGAATCTGATGTTAAAATAGCAAAAGCCCAGAAACCACGACCGCAGACTAAACTTAAAAATAAGTCGAAGGATTCCGCGGGGCGAGGCAGTGGTCGGGGAGTGTTTATTTGTGAACAGTGCGGCAATCACGTAACCGGACGAATGGCTTTCGAACTGCATTGTCGTCGCCATCGAGGAGAAAAGCACTATCAATGCGAGTAGGTATCTAAATATTATGAATTCTGAACAATAAATAATTGGTTAATTGTTGTTATCCCTTGAATGACTATATACTAAGAGCATTTATTTTTCAGAATCTGTAAGGATAGCTTTTGCACCACTTCCGAGCTCAAGCGTCACATGCGTCGACACACTGGAGAGCGTCCTTTTCCGTGCCAATATTGCGGGCGTCGCTTTACGGACTACAGCACGCGCGTAAAGCACGAACGGACTCACACCAATACTCGGCCCTTCGCCTGCAACGACTGTGGAAAGGCGTTTACCACGGCTTACATACTTAAAAATCACATGCTGGTACACACAGGCGAGCGTGCTTTTCAGTAAGTCGTCTTTAGGAAAATGCTGCGTTGTTTTTAATATTTTGCTTTCCGTTCTTTTACAGCTGTGAAGCGTGCGAGAAGTCCTTTACCCGCAATACTCACCTTGTCACGCATTATCGCTCGACAGTGCATAAACGTAATGTCGAAAAGCAAGCTATTAAATCAGCTATCCAAGTCTATCAGTAGATTTTCTGTATTTATAAAACTGTTAAGTTGTAAGTTTACGAAATTATTGTTTAGATTTAATTTATCCATAAGTACACCCCCCATCCTAATCCTTATCCTTAAAATATAAACCAAATTTGCTTATAATCTATGTTTTGTAGTTAAAGCTACCATAAATGTTGGATTACTTCTACGATATTCGTTACCTGGTATTTAAAGAACATTTTAACGAGCTGCATTAATATTTGGCTCTATATTTTCTATTATTCTTACAAATTTGAGTTGCATTTCTTTGGTGGGTAAGTATTCTAAAGATTTTAGCTGGAGTTCGAAAAATATCGCTTCTTTGCCGGAATTTATACAAATCCGTATTCCAACTATTTTCTTTGGAAACAAACAGTTTCTTTGGAAAGCTTTTCATATGAATTCTGGAACATTTGACTTCAGCTGTAATTAATTCTTACAATCATTATCTGGCTTTAAAGTAAAGGATGGAATCCACCACTTACCTATTCCTTCGATAATTGCAGGGCTTCAAAACTGTTTTCATCATTGATTCGAATGTAGCAAAACCTTTAGTCTTTCAATTTTCTATTCTAAACTAACATTAATAAAGCATTTATAAACCAACTGGATTTGACGTTTAGAAAACAGTGGCACGTTCTACATGATTTCTATGAAAGCTATTCCTGCGAGAGAGAGGAACAGTCAAACGAATCAACTGCAGGATTACGTTTTATATTCATTGCATGTCGTAAGTTGCAAACGATTTATCCATTGTATTACAGATTTACACTGCAATGTAAGCTCATGTTGTAACTATTTTTAGAAGCATCCGCTAAAGGTGGGACGGTTACTGCTTCTGCTGGAGATTCCGAGAGTTGCGTATTTTCGTGCTTCTCCACGTTATGTTTATGAGTATTCGAGCGGTAATGTGTTCTTAAATGGGTTTTACGCTGAAAAGAGCGCTCGCAGAGATCACACCTGTTAATGAATATTACAAATTAACAAACTAGTCGACAAAGAACTTGAAACTTACCTAAACAACCGCTCGCCCGTATGTACCAGCATATGGTTCTTCAAAATATAGGAATTGGTAAAGGCTATTAAAAAAGAATAATCAACGGAATTAGCTTCAGGAATATGCTACATGTTTATTGCATATCCTTACCTTTGCCGCATTCCGCACAGACAAACGGCCGTTCATTAGTGTGTATGCGCTCATGCTTGAGACGCCCCATATAGCTGACGTATTTGCGGTCGCAGTAGCGACAGGGAAAGGGGCGTTCCCCAGTGTGTGTAAGATGGTGGGCACGTAACTCAGCAGCGGACAGAAAACGGGCCGTGCACAGCCTATGTAACACACACATGCATATGACAGTTAATTGAAACGATTATTCCCAATGTATTTGAATGAGGTGAGAAAGGGGAATCTCGTATTCGACTTACTCGCATGGAAATGGTCGTTCGCCCGTGTGCTTTCGTATGTGCCGCTCGAACGAGACCTTCGCTTTTACATGTAAGCCGCACAGCTCACAAATATATACTTTGGGATTTTGTGGTTTAGTAATTCTATCCTTATCTTTATGCTTGCGACCTTTGCCCCGATCAGCGGATGCCGACACTGGTTGAACATAATCTTGGTCGCTGCTTCCCTCTGCCTCTGTTTCCATTTTAGTGTCATAACTCAAGTCTAAGCGATCGTGTTCGTCGTCAGCGGCCTCGCTCAACACATCGCTCATGCTGGTCTCATCTTTCAACACAACTAAAAGAGTCTGCTCTGGCTTGGATGGCTCAGATTCTTCACTATTCATTTCTCTTATGCATACTTTTTCTTTTCGAGCCACACGCTTAGGTATTTGGCGAGTACTTTGACTTAGGCTGTCTCCCTCCGCTTCAACTTCATCGGAATCCACATCACTTTGTGATGGGAGATCTTGTTTTGTTTGAGTCTGCGTTTGAGGCGGTTGCCATTTCTTTTGCGTCTTTATACAGAGCTTGCGGAAAGCCATGGCTATGCGCAGATCGGACTGACAACAAAGGCATATAAAGCCGGGTGCATCCTGTTGGTGTTTTAACTGGAATTCATAAACGAATATAGTTTAAGACGAATATAGCTTTAAAGTTGTGTTTTATCTTACGCGTAGTCCTGTAAGCATATTTATGTGGCGTAGCAACTTCCGGTTAGTCTCTTCGAATAGATTCAGACTTCGAGTGCATATGTTGCTTCTACCACACACTCTACACATATTTATCAACATGGTGCTCACGTACTTGTTTACAACTATCTAGCTTCTTTGGGTTTAAGTTACCACGATACCTTTGAGTGATGTGGAATTATTTGACCACCCACTTATCGGTAACGTGGAAATTGCTAATCGAATTTTAAATAGTGTTTACTTGAATTTAGATTTTGTGTTTTCTGACTTTTGTTTCTTTTTGAGTGGTACGCTGTGTCGCGAAACATAGCGCAACTTGGCATAGTTAACGATTACATGTGATGTGTTATCGATAACTTTGTGGACGATATATCTGTGTTGATGACATGAAATGCCGTTAGTATGATTTCAAAGTAGGTGTTGCCCCTTTGTCGACTGTAGGAGATGGTGCCTATTAAGTTTATCTTCGTATGATTTATTAGTTTGGTAATTATTGAGCACTAATCTAAAGGAGCTAAGCATATTTAGTCATTCCTACGCAAACGATTCCCTCTCCGCTGATGTGCTTCAGTTTGCGCACGACATCCGTTTTAATGCTTTTTGGAGTCGGATTTGTTGGCTTTCTGAATTGTTGTCTTAGGCATCTTTGCAATTAAAAAGCTTGGAAACATTTGTTACATCGTAGTTGCTGCAGATGCGTGCCACCTTTCTTTCTCAAAGTTGGGAGCTCATTGGAGTCAGTCAAATCTGATACCACCTCTTCAAAAATGGTTGTGTACTTCTTTCACTCTTCCTCTTCGATAGATTTTCCAACTACTAGCTGCTTCTTTATTTAAAGCGCAATTCTGGGTTTCACACTTCTCAGGGCTGCCCAACAGCAGGCAGACAGTGGCTGTGTATCGTAACGGTTTGCAATTTACAATCTAGCTTAAATTACTGCTGCCTATCTCGAAAACTACAAATGACAAAGGGTATTGTTGTATTCGGTTTTATTGCTTTTTGCTTTTACTCTTGCTATTGTGTTGAACATGGCGAATTTTGGTTATTAACTTGAGATTTTGTTGGGTTACTGTGAAGAGTCCAGGGAGTTTAGTTGGCCTTTATTCATTGCATCGTAATTGGCTTACGCGTTAGAACAGTCGTCGAAGGATTTCATCTGATGCTCCCGGATTTGCAGATCCTTGTGAAAGAGTATCTCATTGTGCACCGCCTCCTCGCGTTCACGTGCAATTTTCAACTCCAATAAGTCCAAACGTCTCTGTTCCACTTGCACACGATATCGATGCAACTCAAGCTGACGCTGTCGGAATGTGGGAAAATTCATGTTGTTGCTGCTGCTGCCACTTTGCTTGCCACCCGCATTTCCACTCCACTTATTCCCTGTGGTCATCGTCATTGTCGTCGAGGTCGTTGTCATTTTATTTCCATTATTTGCGGTGCCCTGACGGCGTTTTTGTTGATTTGGAGGAGCTGTATTGTTCGATTTTGTCGCCGAATTTTGAGTGCTGATGAAGGAGGCGCAACTATTTGCTGGCTTGGTCACATTCCCATTGGTCAGCATTAGTTTGGCGGTCGGCGGCGATATGCGCTGGGGCTGTGTTTGCGCATTGGCGGATGCCAACATGCTGGAAACGGAGACGTTCATCACGGGACTATTCTGTGGAGCCTCCAGTTCACCGGAGCAACACGAGTCCGTGTCGTTGGGTATGCGCGCTGCAAATGTAGGCGCCACCTCACGGACCACGGCCATTTGTTGCGGCGGCAAACAACACGATTCCATTTTCAAGTCTGTGATGATCAGTCTGTGGACCTTAGCCGGCGGTGGTGCTATAGTTGTGGCTTGCAGTTGTTGCAGCTGCTGTTGTTGCAATTGCTGTTGTTGTTGTTGTTTTTGCTGCACAGCTTTCTCAGCGGACAAATCCTTGCTGCGTCTGTACTTTAGGGACTCACGCGAGGGCTTGTAGCGAAGCGCCAGGCTGGGCGAAGCACTGGGCTGGTGATTCAACTCCTCGGCTAATTTATTACTGCGTATCAGTTTGAAGATCTGATGCCAGGCATCGGCCGCATAGTTGGAGGAGCTGCAGGCTTTGCTCGTACTTGCCTGAGGCTGCTGCTCAGTTGTCACATTCGTTGACTGCAGAGTCCGTGATGGCACGCGGCGATAGTTGACGATGGAGTCGAAGGTCTCCACCTCATCGCTCAATTTCCACATAACGCGACGACTGCAACTCGATTGAGACTGCCCAAAAGCCTCTTCTGTAAGTCATGGCTCGGTTGCATCATCATGAAATATACATAAGATAATCAGATGCTTACCACTCTTGTGGGACTTATCCATGGAACTCATTGCGAATTTTGTTTATGTATTGTGTCTGAAATATGTACCAATTTTTTTGTGTACTTACTCCTACCGCTAAATTGCCACAAATATGTAGCAATTTTTGTGTTAGAGAAGTTGAGATTTTCAAGGTCTGGACAAATGTGAGACAGTACGTGTAAAAATTGTCTGGAATTTTAAAATACCAAGCCTACCACAATTTTGAGTAATAATTATAATTTGGGAGAGTTTTCATTTCCTTAGACAATATTCTCTTTGATTGCTTTTTGATACTTACAAAATCGAGATAAAGAGTTTGAGATCAATAGTCTTGTTTGAAGAAATGGGTTTTGGAATATCAGAAAGTCTAAGAGCTGGAATAATCAAACATGGTATCCATATTTTCGTAACTCCGGGAAGGGTGTGAGTCTTAATGTTGCCCTTTAAATTGTAAATAATTAAAATATGAAACACATATGTATTTATGTTTTGTAGTTCTTTAATTGGTATTTCATTCATGTGTATATAATTTGTCATAAAACCTTTTGTTTTCATTTTTCTTTTTAACTAAATTTACAGTTTGGTTTCCTCTATGGGATGCTTTGTGTTTTATCATTAAATTTTAATCATTTTCAATTCTTTAGCTAGTTCTTATTATTATTTTGGTTTCCTTTTCCAGTTGACTACGGCATTTTAAAAATTATGTTAACATTTTGCGTTTAACAAAAAACATAGAAAAAATATAGTATATACACGTATGTATTATACAAATCAATCAATTGGTCAACTTAAAGCGAGCATTAGAAATTGTATTGAAGGATATCAGGCCAGATATTTTAATTAAGTAGTATGTGGTGGGCGTCCTGACTAGCATAGCTTTACAGTTAGCAGCGCCAGTGAAGAATTGTGCTTACAGATTTGTATTTTTACTTCAACTGTGCGCCAATTTGCTATGAAACCACATAAAAGTCTTAAATTTGTTCACACTTTGGCAAGTTGTACGAAATTGCTTGGCTTGATAGTTGTTGTTCTGTGTGTGTGAGTGTGTTGACTAGCATTGGTTTTGTTAAGGTGTGGTCAGATATGTAAATTGTTTGCACCGAAACTTGTCGAATTTGTGCCAATTGGAATTGGTTACATAAACAAAGATATCTTCTTTTCGATTTGCTTTTTGAAGCTTTCCACTCAGTTCCATTTGTGTGCAAATTATTTACTGCCTGACCGTAGGACTAGGTTTTCAATAATAACTATTTTTAGTATTTCTATTTTTAAATCTATTATTAGTTTTTAGCATGGACACAGAGTCAATGAAATTGATCTTGGTTTTCTCTAAATGAAAAAAGAATGGTGCGCCAAAAGGGCAGCAGCGGAACAATTCTCTGCAGAATATGTATTGGAGGGCTTTTTGAAAGAACGACTGAACAGTAACACTATTTTTGCTTGAGTCTAAACACTATGTGTTTAATGGGTTTCCTTCGCCTATTAACGTTTAGTACTTGTATGCTGGTATGTTAGTTTAAATTTAAATGGTTGTAAGTAAAGTCGTCTTGACCGAGAGCTATATATCCTAGACTAGCTTTATCATCTATACATACTATATATATGTGTATGTATGTTATATAAAGTATTTCATTAAAGTACACACATCTTTCAGAATTGTTTGTGGGTTGTTTGTTTGCTGTATTATGGCCTCCTATTTTCTAGAGAGAGAGAGAGAGAGAGGGAGATAAAGAGTTCTAGAAGAATCCTTCCTCTGATGACTATGTATAGCATGTAATCTATTTCCTATGAGAACTAACAACTTGTTTTTGGTTTTAGCTTTTCATCATATACTCGTATTTAGTCTGTTGCTATGAGCTTAGCCTTCTTTCATGTTTTTAATACTTTAAGCACAATTTACATTTTTAAAATTAGAGCATGACTAGAATTTTGAGTGTTTGTTCGAATTTTTATGAAGGGGCATGGTTTCTTAATGGGATGAGAGATTTTGTTTTCATTTCTACGTCATACATAAAATGTTGCTCGTTTGAAGAATCTTCCTTTTTGCAGTACTTTTTAAGTTTTTTTTTGTTTGTTTTTGGCTTGTTCCATCGTAAATAGTTTTTATACAAAAAAAGTTGTCTTAAAAATGTGAAAATTATTCAAGTATTTGTTGTCTTATATTGGTTCCAATTGATGCTTAAATGTTAACATTTTTACTTTAGGTTCTGTTTTTGTGTTTTGTTTGTATATAAAACCATTTTATACATTTATGTATATGCTAAAGCCCTATTATACATATTACTAGATATACATACATATAATCACCATATATTGGCTTCTGGGCATGAGCAAGTCAGCGCTCTACATATATTTGTATATTGCTAATCGGAGCGTCTGACAAACGCCTTTTTTCCTACACTTCTTCTTCTGTATATATATAAATGTTTGACTTCTTCTAGTTGTTGTATTTGTTGTTGCTGCTAGTACTTAGCACATACTACTAATCATAAGTTACTGGACGACATAGTGAGAAAACGAATAGTATCGCATACCACAATTCGGTTATATACAAACCGATCTGCAGCGTGCAGAGACAATACTCCAAACGCAGTTTGTAGGTTTGCAACAGCAATAGATAGGAGACACCCAGAAAGCAGGGAGCGGTTAGAAAAACTGATAAAATAGCAGTCCAACCTGAAGAGAAATGAAATGGAAAACAATTGGCATTAGCTTGATAAGAAGAATAGTAGATCTAAAAATAGTCTCTTCTCTCTTCTTAAATCTGTATCTTTATCACGAGCTCGCGCGATTCGTTTCTACCTCTCTCGGCCAATGAACCCTTGCGTCCCAATATCAGGCGTATCGTCTCCAGCAATATGAAACTAATCATCACTACCGAATCCTGCGCCATTGCGTGGCCTGTGTAGCTCAGATTTATAGCCTTCAACAGGCCCATGGCCAACTCACAGCATGCGAACATGCCAAAGTAGAACGAATTCAGATAGATTAGCACCTCGTAGTTCATGCTGGGATTTGGCTTCTTCGGCACCAGCGGAGGCGGCTTTTTCGGTGGCATTTTCGAAGCCTCCTAAATCCAAACGACGCTTACAAAATAATAAAGATAACTCTCGTAGTATTTAGTAGATAGTTTCCCCCGGCACTACGAAAACAGAATAGAATAAAGCTCGCAGGCTCTGTCTCTCTGGCGGCCTTTATTTGCGTTGCTCGTGCTGGGCCCCGTATTTTTAGACTGACCATAATAATAATGTGGACCTGCTGTTGGCCATTGCCGACACAATTTTGTTGGACGTTGTGTCGCGTCTCTGTCGCCGCCGCCGCTCACTTGCATTTTGTTGTTGTTATTTATTTGAATTATGTGCTGGTCGTTGTCGCCTTTGGGTGCCGACGTCGCAGTCTCAGGCGTCGTTGTCTAGTTGTGGGCCGTGGGCTCTGGGTTTTGAAAACTATACTGATGACCTGTCTTTCAAGGATCTTACGGAAGGTGTGATAACTTTTGCACTAGCCAGGTACTACTAGGGGTGTGAGAACTTAAGAACGAAATTATCCTTCAAATTTAGTATTTGAGGATACAAATTGTATAGGACTTCAAAAGTCTTCAGATATGTCGAATATAACTAAAATTGCGACAGAATTGAATTTATGATTTCAATTTGACTAAAACATTGTTTAGTTTCTGAAACTTTAAAGCGTATACATTAATTTAATCGGCAAATTACTAAATGGTTCACTACTGCCTCCCGGACTTAGCCCAGATTTTCATATTTATTTATTTTTCTAGATCTCAATTTTTCTAATGCCCAAACCCAACGAGCCAACGACGAACTTGTGGCCAGATCGTAAACGCTGCACTTTTAGTGCCCGTTTATATTACACTTCAATTAGAAGTGTGCATTGCACCGTTGAACGCCGCAAAAACTACGAACTGCCGCCGATGCATACTATATAGTTGTATATAATTTTAGACTATCATAAGCATTTGTATATACAAAAATACCAACAAAGATCGTGTGTACGATGGTGCGACGGCGACAAAAAGAACTGCCGAACAAAGGAATGCATCGTGATTTTCAAATTAAATGCAACTTTTGATCAAAGCGGACGCGTACCGGTATCATAGTACTAGAGTGCCTTATATAATACGTTAATATGTTAGAGTGTGAAACATACCTGGCATGGAAAACAATTGCTAACGGTTCGTGAGTTTCCTTCTTGGATTTGATTTGCTTTCAATACGCCAGCGTATTATCCTCTTTTGTGTTAATATCTCGTTAAGTACTATATATGCTCCGTAAATCCTTTAAATTGCGTTTTGTTATCGTGGTCTTCCGTTGTGTTTGAATGTGTATGTGTAAATGTGTTTGTATTTATGCTGTGTGTGATTCCGTCTGTTTGTGTGTACATCCATATCTCTTAGCCCACATCGAAATCGCTCAATTTAAACGTAAACTGTTTGAAGTAATTATGCCAAAAAATGCGTCGTCGCCACCCCCTCTGTCGTCGTCCTCTCTGTGGCTGCTTGGTCGTTTGATGCAGCAGTACTACCAACAACTCGCTGCTGGTGGCATCACTAGCATCGATAGCATCCAACGTCGCCGTCCTTCGCGCCGTCGACGTTGCGAACATCAACTGCTAGGTGTATGTTACGGGTCGACACATCGTACAAATGAATATGCTGGCGTAGATTAGTTCAGCACCTTGTAGGGTGATCATTAAGGCACTCAGAATAATTTCGAGTTTGAGAACATAAGTTTGAAAACAACATAAATAGATAACAATACCAAGGCTGGGCAGTGTTAATATTACGGATGCTGTTGCTTGCCAACCTACAATAAACCAAAATATCCAATATATCAGATACTTTAAATACATTAATTAATAGTTCGTTTGTCTGCCGTTCGTCTGTCTTATTATTCAAAACATTCACAACATTTTGATGTTGTTGTTTCCATTGGCAAATACATTCCCTTAAGAAATATATTCCATTTTAGTTTAAAATATCATTATATCGTTTGAACAGGCAATACATTAAAATACATATGTATGTATCTAGGCGTTTCCAAAGCATACTGTTGATTTGAGTATGTTTTAGTTATTGATTGGGTATTTCAACTATGCTGTCAGGTAAAAAGGTACCGACTTTTTTTTACGGCACAGAAGATATTCTATTGCTGCTTCCAATTGGATTGCTATTTAGCAGTCAGAAATATAATCGTACGTCTGATAGGAATTTTTCAAAGCCTTTGGTTGGTCAGACGAATAAGAATAAGTACAGTCTTATTTTTCAATAAATTAACACAATTCACAGTTCTGTATGAAAGGTTACAAGCATTTGCTAAAGGACCCAAGTTTCAAAGCTTAATAATGCAAATAATTTGCTTATCTGGTAGTAGCTTTAGTTATGAGTATTCAAACATTTTCAATTTGTATAATCAAAAGATCCTTTCAATATATGACTGGCACTGTCTCATTGGCCTGCCAACTATTCATACTACACTCCTTATATTCCTCGTTCTAGTGCCGTTCAAATAAACTTGCACTGTATTAAAGTTAATATCTGTTGTAAATACGCACAAATATGTCCATTTAGAAGACGTCTGCAATGTGCGTGTTCATCAATGTTCATATTCCTATTAAAAATTGCGCATACGCCGATTGGGTTGGGCGAACAAAACAATGACGTTGTTTTCTGTTTTGTTTGATGTTGTTGTTTCTGTTTTAATAGCAAACAATTTAGCTATGTCATCATGGTGGACGCCCACAGACTCACATGTCAGCACCAGCTGCAGCGTTGTTGGACAAACAAAGCAACATTCTTCTACATATAGTACATACATACGTATTGTATGTACATATGTATGATTGTTTAATTTATAAAAACTTATGAAAGGGCGCTCTCTAAGGGAATGGTTGCCGCCTTTACGTCTAGATCTATTGATTTGGTTGCACTTACCACGATCGCTCAAGCTGCTTTTGCGTCCAAAGACAATGCGCAACGTCTCAATAATGCAAAGGGCAAGCAATATGCTCGCTTCCCGTGATAAAACATTTTCTCCGTAATTCAAATTGATTGCCTTCAGCACGCTGACGCCCACTTCAAAGGCGGCGTACATGCCAAAATAGAATGAGTTCAGATACATGAGTATCTCATAGATGAGACTGGCGTTCATATTGGGGCCTCCGCGTCCTCAACTACACGTCACCACCAGGATTGGCGGCGGCGGCTTCTGCTTAAAGCTGTTGTCACCGGCGCAGTTTGAAGCAGCACTGTTTGTTGGCCAGGGGTGTGAATGTGGATGATGTTGGCTTTTAAAGTCCTTTGCTTCACAGGTGTGTGCTCAGCACATTCGGCGCCAACTTAGTTCGCTGATGATGGTGATGCCCTACAAAGCAGGTCGAAGCAGCAGCAGGTGGCTAACACGCACACACACATACATGCGCACATATGCTGCCCAAATGTTTGTCTCTATTTATGTGACTGTGTTTGTGTCTGTGTGTGTGATATGGGCGGGGGACTGCTTTGGGTTGCGCTAATGGTGCTCTTGGTGTATTTTTAATTGCGGTTGCTCATATGTACATACATATATACACATGTTCATACATATGTATGTATATTTGTATTTTGTTGTAGTTCTTGTCGCTGTTGTGGGCAAATTAACTGGGCTTCCTGTGTAATGTTGCTGTCCTTGCGTTGTCATGGGAGCTTTTTATTTATTTTTTTTGTTGTTTTTTTTGCTGCTGTTTGATGTGGCGTGCGCGGTGGTAAAGGTAACTGTGTTGCTGTTGAGGTTCTTATATTATTGTAAAACATATACATATGTGCTTATATAAATATTTCTGCAGCTTGATTACAAAAACAATGCCGCGTTATTTCTGGCACTGGCACTGGCACGCACTCACACACACAACAGACAGGGGGGAGTGGGTCAATCCAGCACGTTGTTGTTGTTAGTACAATATGCACGCCCCGCCTCCGTTATGTGCTGTTGTTATTGGCTTTGCTGTAGCTTAATCCCAATTCGCACTTTTCCTTTTCACGTTAAAATTTTTCGAAATATTTTAGGCTTTTCCTAATTTCCTTTTGGTGATGAGCCTTCAAGCAATTGGGCATCACTGGTAGTTGTCTTTGGTTCCGAGTCACACAGTAGTTCCAGTGGTTCCAGCTGCGATAGCGCATCGATAACAGTGCCGCTTCGATAAGCCATTACAACCCTAGCTTGCCTTGAAAATTGCAACTTGTTCGATCAGCAAATTAAAAAATTACTTCACATAAAGAGATTAGCAAGATGCCTGCCGACCAAATACAATATTCGGAGAAGTACTTTGATGATAATTTTGAGTACAGGTAAGTTACTTTTTGTAAATTCAGTAACCACTGATGCAACTGTTGCAGTTTGTTTACGTTTCTTTGTTTTTCCTTGCACTTGTAGGCACGTAATTTTGCCGGCTGATTTGGCAAAACTTGTTCCGAAGGCTCATCTGATGACCGAAACTGAGTGGCGTAACTTAGGTGTGCAGCAGAGCCCTGGCTGGGTGCACTACATGATGCATGCGCCGGAGCCGCATGTTATTCTATTTCGGCGCAAGCGGGTTTCTCAGGAACCGGTCGCTGCGGCAAGCTCGCAGCCACAACAGACTACCGGCAGTAACAATAATACCAAAAACAACAAGAACAATAAAAATGTTAACGTATGTGCCTAGTCCAAGTTATGTTATGGTTGTGCACTAGCGACGACGCAGGCGGAGAGGCTAATGAACAACGCTTTTTATAGAGACAGTATTCCATAAGATTCCCAACGTCATCAGACAACACTGATGTAAAATAAGTTTGCGGTAGCTTTAGCAACATTTTGATACCATACTCACTACATACATATATACATAAATTACATACGTATTTACACATATGTAGACTATTAAGTAGTCTGTAAGCTATTGAGCGCGGCCATTAAAATAATATTTGTATACGGACATCTCAGGTTATTAGAATTATGTTCCTCTTTTAAAAGAATCTAATTAACTATGTTTCGCATTTATGTACATTTAACTTTAATGACCTAGAAATACATAAACATACGTACACTCACGTATGTACGCAACATGTACACGTAAAACTAACAAATCTTATTTATGTAAATTCGTTACTAGTGGTAGCAGCGCCAAGCTGCTGGAATCACGTAATCCGTCCAACCTTCGATCTTAAGTTCGCAATTCTGTCGCGCATAATACTCCATGGCGTACAGAGAAATAAGCATGCCATTGCCTGAGATGAGCGAGAACCATAGGAATATGTTGCCCAGTATTTTGGGTGCTCTGCGCATTAGAAAAACCAGCGTCACGCCCACTACGCCAAAAAGCACAAACATAACAGGAAAGAACATTCGGAGAGCGAAGCCAAGAACCTGTTCATGTACCATCGCCGAGATCATGAAGACTGTGAGCGAAGCACCCACCTTGGATCCTTTAAAGACGTGAGTGTAAACATCACGATAAACATATTCATACAACCAATCATGTACCACCACATTCCAGTTGCGGTAGTAGGCATCGTAGGTATGTGAAGTCCACCAGTCCTTGTAAAACATACGATCGCCGAAACGCAGCAGTTCGGACGTAAAGTTCAGCCAGGAGTGTAGAATGAGATAAAAGCCGCACAAAAATATGACCATGCTGGGTAGGATCATGCCAAACAGCTTCACAATAAGTTGAGGCGTATTCAACGGCTCCCGACCATAATCGGCGAAATGCTCGCTAATGTGCCGCTCGTGTATGAAGGCATATAGAAAGGCAATTGCCACAACTTCCAGTAGACGACTGATTGCGAAGGGCCACCGTATATGAGAGGTTCTTGGATAGTTGTCGCGATAGATGAGCGTGGGTGCGAACAGAAAGTACACATAACAGCCCAATGACGGCAGAAAAGGACGACCTACAGATTTACCATCCGTTTTAAGCTTGCCAACTATTACACGCTCGGCATTGTAGCGCACGAAGGCGTGCATTTTCATCAGGAGGCGCGTGCTCTCCAGCAGCAGGACACAGGCGCTGACAAAGGGCAGTCGAAATTTGAGGCACAGCGTGCAGGACACGTAGCCAAAGACCAGCTGTGAACTGATGTACATGATGAGGCAGCTATGCGACCAAAAACGCTGCAACGAGTCTGTCGAGAAAATTGGGAAAGCATTAAGGGTTGCAAAGAGGCCATCATTTTGTTTCTTACTCTGTTTTTTAAGTCTGTGACGCACTAGCGCCCATCCTCGAAAGGCATAATATAGCGCCAGGACGAAGACATGCTCCAGCAGCCACACGCCCAACACCCAATGTAGACGTTGGAGGCCCGATCGAAATGTGCCGAGTCCCAAATTGAAGTGCCCCTCCACAAAGTAGTCATGCAGCACGACGTTCAACAGAAACATGACCAGAATTATATAGAATATGTGATAGATGGTCCGCATATGGTCCACCTGGAGCAGCGCTGTTAAGTAAGACTCACGAGCAATGAACACCTTGTCGGGCAGGCGTCGTTGTGCCGGCGCTGACGTCTCGCTGACTTTTTTGGGGGTCGCCGCTTTTGGGCTGTCACTGATGTCATGTGGGGGCAGTTTTTTGGAAATCTGTTGGCGATTGTGCCAAGTGCTGTTGTTGTTGCCAAAGTTAAGGCTGCTGCTACTTCTCTTCCCATTGCTACTACTTTGTGCAAAATTACGAAACTCATGCAGGCGCAGCTCACGCTGGCGCATGTCCTGCAGCACATCCTCAATCATCGACGACAGTTGTCGCTCGAAGTCGCGCACCATGTTCACTTGAAACTTTTGCAGCTTCTCGCATACAAAATGCAGTTCTGCAAAAGTCGAGTAACTATGCATGTATAACTGTTGACCCTTTAGTAGTGGCCATTTACTTACCACTGTCTTCCAATTCATTTTTTACGGCCTGCGGCTTAGTGCGCTGAATTTCCGCTGCCATTGCTTTACTTTTTTTTAAGTTTAATTTATTATATTACTTGTATATGCACACTCGCAACGCTTCGAAACTTTAATGCCCGCTAAATCGCGCAGCAAATCTTTATTACACTTTTTCGACCTCCGTCCACTGAGACGTCAGTGGCAACAATGTTGTGGCCGGTCAGCTTAGTCGGACACTTGCTACGGTTGTTTTTGAATTGATAACGGCGCTTTTCCTAATTCTCAACAGTGGCGTTGTTTTGCGGGGGATATTCTGCTCTTTTCACTCACAACTATCGTTATGCCATTAGTATAAAATATATCATATGTACGATCACGATTATGTACAGCATTTATAAAAAGTTTAAATTATATAAATTGACTAAGTTCACAGTGTTCCGGTAACAGAATATTTAGATTTAAGCTATAAATATGGTTTATCTATAAACTATTAAAAAACTGTATATAAAAAATTCAAATAAAAAACTCCAGCATCTTTTCTCAATTCAAAATTGAAATCAACGGCCTCATATTTAAAGATATACCCAATTTTAAATAAATGCTTTAAATTTTGTTTATAATTTTAGTATTATTTTCGGTGTTTCTAGTTAAATGTCGCAAGCTATTTAATGCATCCAATCCCACATATCATCATACTCAAAGGTAATTGGATTATTTTGGTTAAATTTGTGAGTACATTGAGAAATTGAGTGTGTGGCATTCGCTTATTTTATCCCCCTAAGCATACTGCCAAGGGCGACGACACCTCTGCTTAGTCAAATTTGTATGCTTTGGCGTCCGCATTCGCGCTCTCATTATTTCGTTTCACTCTCAACCACTTCCCCGCTTTGCATCCATTCTTCTCCCACTCGTGCTCTCGTTCTCTCTACATGCTCTGTTTCAAAGCTAAACTCTTCCTGTCTCTGCTCAGTGCAGGCACCCAAAAATTACAAGTCAAGTACAATCGCTAATCAAATATTCCGCAAATTACTTTGCACCCGCCCATGTTTAGTGCGGTGATTAAATTAAAGTGTTATTTTTAATCAATTATAGGAACTACCTTATGTCGACGTTGGAGCATACATACATATGTATGTATGTAAATAGTTGAACTGTGGATCGTGAGAGCTTGCACTCACGATGTACTCACGAAGATAAGCATATCTACAGTGAACCAAAAGAGTATAAATACCGTTAATGATTTGAGGTTTGTTTGTAAGAAAATCCACCAAGTACCTAAAACTAAAAATATTTGAATACACTTTTACAAAATTTATATTGTGCTTCTGTTTGCCGAAAAGTACCCACATCTTGGACTTGCTGTAAAAGAGAGTTCGAAAGCGCAATATTACCTTAATATTACCGTTGTGTGCCTTAAGACAGCTGGAGAATACGCGAATTAATTTTGTAGTTGCCCGACAACTTGCTTACTGTTTTATTTTAAGTGTCTTGTTAAATAGTAATAAATAAATATTTTCATAAATGCAAAATAATTGATTAAATAAATAAGATTTTGTGGTGTAAAAAAAATGTTTTTAAAAGTTGTTTCAAATATATTTGTAAACATTTTTCTTCAAAACAATGATGTATGTAAACTTTAGTGATGAATGACTGTGCTTATGTTTTCAGTGTATGTATTTGTTTAGATTGCTTCTGTCGTCGTGAGTGCAAGAAGTCACGATGTACAGCTCAAGTACTTACATACATATGTATGTATGTATTGATGCGTGTGAATTGAGTAATGCACGATAAAGAGCTGAGCCTTTTGTTGTTGTTGTCGTCGTTGTACATTGCCCTCATTACAAATAAGCTGAGAATGTTTTGTGGGGAGATAAGGAGCTGGGAATGGTCAGTGAAATGCTCAACAAACAGCTGGAGAGCAGACACAGTGGAACGAATGTTCTGAGTTTTATTTATACACATATACATACATACATATGTGAGACGTAATAAAGCTGAAAAGTTTATGCAAGCGCAGAGAGTGGCTTGTTAATGTTTATAAGGTGTTGCCCAATATGTGCATGAGAAGTGAATCATCAGGTAAGCCAAACATTGTTGTCCAACAAATCATGCTTCGATGCTCGGAAGCTCTGGTAAAAAATTGTACACACTTTACTTATCGTTAAAGTGTGGAATATATAGTACGTATATATGTATGTACATATATACGTATTTAATCATAATTAAATAGTAGACAAATATGCTTCTTATTGTCCAAAGAAAGCATTTTCTGATCAAATCAATAATTTAAAATAAATTATTTAGAAGAAAAAATAAGAAAGGAAAACAAATTAAATTAGTCCCTATTATGAGAATTGAGAATTTTAACATGAATATACAAATGAAGCGCATGTTTTTCAAATAAACAAAAAATTAGGCGAAAATAAAAAATAATAACAATTGAGAAAAAAGAAACTATACAACAGTACAACATACCAAGCTTTATCAATCTGGGCTCAACCGTTAAAAAAATTCAGGTGTTCATCCATACGGAATACATACGGGTATATACTTGTACATACAAGCAGAACTGTATGGGTAAATGCTAGTCTATATGCACCGTTTCTCGCCAATTCCAAACATAAATAAAGCACATCAAAAATAGAATTTCAATATGATATAATTATGAGCCGATTCAACTTTTAATGACTCTATCTATGTACATATGTATGTATATGCTATATCTATACTAATTATATATTAAGCTAACATTTATAAAACCAAGCCTGATGTTGTAACAATTAGAGTAGTCTTAAAAATTATTGGCCCCTGAACGAACAGAGACGGTAATAGTTACCACCAAACATTTGTTTAATTATAATGATAAAGCATTAAGTTGTAATATAATCTTTGGAAATTGCATTTCACTTCTGCATTTTCAAAGCCCAAATAGTTAGGTCTAATATAATAAATTAAGTACGAACTATGTATACTTGTAGATTATTAAAATGAATCAAAAGCAATTTATTGTTTTTTGAGGCAGGGAAGATCCTATAGGGACTGTATTCCATTTTAAATTATATGCAAACCTTGACCGCTTCGGCCGCATTTGTGAAATATTGTACAAGTATTTATATGTTTAGCGCATAACAAAAACGCAAAGAGATATCAAGTTTACAAATTTGTGCACATTTTACGGGCTTAATTAAAATTTGGATAGCCACCAAAATGCATTTTGCACATAAATTTAAAAAAAAAAAATACAAATTGAGTATTTTTTATAATACGAGTACGGACACATAGAATTTATCCAAAAATGTGCGCTGCATAAAACGATGAGCCTATATGCATACATGTGTATTCACTTGTGTGAGTGTGTGTGTTTGTTGGTATTGCTGTCATATTTAATTGCAAATATTTGGGCATGTGTGTGTGTCTGTGTGTGTGCGTGCATGCGTGTAAGTAACAAAAACAAATACAACATAATGTTTTGATAACGAAAAATGAGCCAAAATTAAAGCTCAGGGCCATGAGTGGCCCTGGAATAGAAAGCAGGCGCAGGATGCACGAAGCACACAAATTGTGTGTGCATGTATGTACATATGTGTGGGTGAAATAATATTAATGCCGTGCAGACGCAATAACCAAAAATATTTATTATTTATGCGGAATAAACAGCACAAAAACATCGCGCGCACACACATACTATATACACACACATACGAAATATGAAATTAATGCAAAAATGACAAAAGCAGCGTTTGTACATAATGAGCGAAGGAAAGAATCATGCACAAATATAAATACATATGTATCTATACATATGTATGTATGTATGTATGTGTGTGCGTATAAAAATAAAATAATAAAAGCCTCTGGCCAAAATATGGATGCGCGCACTCGTAAAACATAAAAGTCAAAACCCCTCAATTGGGCGCACAAACGAGGGCAGAACAATCATATTTTCCTTCAACTATGTATACTTTTTATCAAGTTATACTTATGAGTGTGTCGAGCAATGATATTTCCATTAAAATTTTTATCTGATTTGCATACTGTTAGGCTTATCATTTTTAAAGCCAATGCCAAAATGCCAAAGAATGCTATTTCCATTAAAATATTTACCTGTTCAGTACCTGGAACACTGATACTAACATTAAAATATTTACCGCTCAGCTATATTCTAGTTTTAGGCTTGGTATTTCTAGAGCTAAGGCCAAACAAGCAAATAATTTCCATGCAAACAACGATTCTTAACATGTTTCTCTTGCTTAGCTATAGTCGGCTTTTGGGCGCAGTTTTTTGTTCTAAATGTGAGGGGATTTTCCCTAAGTATATTGTTAACCCGTCTAATAATAGTATTTATTATATATAGCTTTAAAACTTTAATATTTTCTGAGATCCAATTTATAATTATTATGCTATCCATTTCTTATGCGAAATATATTTCATTTAGAGCACAACGGTTATTTCTTCAAAAAAAAAACCGATTGTGAGAATTGTTCATCGAGAATTACAACAATTTCCTATCCATTTGAATTACAGTCGATCATTAGGTTTGAAACTCCATTTATAATACTATTATGTTATACGGTTTAAAATCGACAAGTTGTAGAAAAGCTACATATGCTGTTTTTTTCAAAAAAAAGCTTGCCTTTCATATATGTATCTAGTAAAATATTTACCTATCTCGAAGCTCTTCACATTAAAATATGACAGCAAGTATGCCAGTAAGTATATCGAGGCTTTGTTTCAAGTTTACGTTTGCCCGTCGATGTGATATTGAAATATATCTATTATAAATAAATTATATTCAATAGAAGTTATTAAGCTGCTCTCGTATTCATAAATAAAAGCAGCAGAAAGAAAGAAGAAAGTGGGCGGTTGCCTAGATGAGAATATTATGGAGATATGTGAAAGATATGAGGCACACACACACACATACTTACAAGCAAACGTACATAAAAAGACATTTTTATTTGCACAGTGGGTGAGCAGCAGCGGCAAAAAAAGGAGAAAAACACCAGCAACAACAATAAAAACAACAAAAGCATAGCAAAAGAGCGACAGAGACAGCAGACAAAAAATGGTAACAAAAATAATATGCGGCCGCATAAAAATCTATATAATTCATAAGCTCACACAAACAAATACACACACACACACATGCAGAGCAGCACGTACGTCGCAATGTGGCCGCCATATTGGGTCATAAAAGGCACACAAGCACACATACACCAAGCAGCTGCCATAAAAGCATGGCAACAAAAAACAACAACAACAACAAAAATGACAGCAACAGCAGAAAAAATTTTATGACCGCCATATAAAAAATGTTGCATATTTTTGGGGGCATCGCAGAGAACAGTACGTGGGATTTTTGTTGGTCGGTTGTTCGCTTGGTTGGGTTTAA